GCCCTTTGCAGCTTCTGCTCCCCTTGGCCTGTACTGCCAAGGGGACAGACTGTACTTGGAGAAACTGAGGAGGCAAGCAGGGCAGGGATCCCCAGTTGGCCTCACTCTGCCCTGGCCCACCCGGAGAGCCTCAGTGAGCTCACGTCTGCAGGAATCTCACTGCTCATCACCAGGATCGTGAGCTCAACCTGGAAGCCAGATGCAGGTGAGAAGTGATGGGTGTCTCCTCAGGAATGTGCTGTCCAATTAAAACCACCTCCCCTATGGCTGTGGTGGATATTGGGACTACCTTTGGGCACTGCTGGCTGGCCTCCAGGTTGAGTTAGTGGACAAGCATTTACTGAGAGATTACTATGTACCAGGAGCTGGACACTGGGGAGACAAGGAAAAGTAAGATCCACACTGAAGAGTAGTCTCCATCACAGACACACGTTTAGAAGCAGAAAGTTCTGCTGGTCAGGCCCCAGGCTCCTATGCAGCCCCCACCAACTGAGAGCCCTGCCTTGTTCTCACCACAGGCTCAAGCCCCCAAGCCCTTAGCCTATCACCCTCTTTTCCTTTTTTTTTTTTTTTAAGCATCCATAGTCTTTCTCTGGTCCCTGTTTTGGCATCAATAAGACTATTGCTTCCTCACCTTCCCTGCTTCTACAATAGCCTGGACACCCTCTACACTGTCCACCTGCAGCACCATGGGCAGGCTTATTGGTTTCTGTCCTTGGCAGGGTTCCAGCAAAGGCCACAGTGTGAGGCAAGGTAACACCCCTGTGACTACAGGAAGGCTTATTCCCTAGACTCCACAGGTGAGTTTCCTGCCCCAAGTTCATCCTCAGAAAGGAGAGCTGAACTTGGAAGACAGACCTCAGACAGGCAAGAGCCTTGCTCTCTCACAGGGTGTGTGTCCCGAGTGCAGACATTGGAAGAGGATAGAAACCTAAGTGTAGCCCACATGGTGTGTAGCTAAAGCAGTCAGACTGCTTATATTAAAGTGCAGTCCTTCTGCAACAGAGTGGTCCCCGGGAAAAGGGGAGGTTCAGTTTCCCTTGTCCCACCCAGAAGGAGGGTGGAGCTGAGCAGGGAAGAGAAGAACCTGGAGAGGAGACTGAAGAGGATGGAAGGAGGATGGGGAGCCAGAAGGAGACATGAGGGAGGAACGTGGAGCAGAGAGAAATGTGAAGAAGCGGCTCTTGTTTCTTGGTCCTGGACTGGTTGAAACAGGTGTGGGTGAGAAACCCGTGGGGAGGTGACTTGTGGGAACATTTCTGACCCTTTTCTATGGGTCTCAGCCAGAAGGTACTTTAGACTTGTAGCAGGCTTTCCAGCCTTGCTTTGGGCCAATCCCTTTTGGGTAGACTTATGTACGAGGGGATGGGTAACTTTGGTTGTTTGATTTAGACATTATATTCTTTGTCTTTTCTGTATTGCACACTAATTGTATTAAAGTTTCTTTCCATTTAAGGTCTTATATGTTTTGTCTTGAGGCGGCAGATGGCAGTACCTAGTTAGAGCTGGGAGGTTTGGGGTTCAGGGGTGCTTCTCTCCCTGCCCTATAATGCTTCCCCTTTGCTAAGTAATATGTCTCTACTTTTTAAATTGTATCTTACCATGAGAAAGAGATGCCCCGCAAAACATAAATTGGGTAAGTGGTTATTTTTCCTCATGTAATGAGAAGTTGGAAGATGGGTAGACCAAGGCTTGAATTAGCTCCAAATGCCATCAAAGATTCAGACTCCTGTCCTTCTCCCCAACCTTTCTTAGCATGTACTTGCCTCATGGTCACAAGATGACGCCCTATTGCCAACCAGTTCAAAATCTAGCAGGAAGAGTTAAGTCAAAGGACTGTTGAGTCATTCTCCCTTTTAAGGAGATTTCTTGGAAGCCCCCTACAACTTCCACTAATATCTCATTGGTTCAAAATATGTTACATGGCAAAACACACTGGGAAATGTTTCTAATTAACCATGTTGCTGCCAACATAATCAGACTTGTATTACTAAGGAATATAAATTGGTACAGCACTTGCAAGGAGAGAGGTGAAAAACATTTAAGGGAGGACAGGTTTGGGATTAGATGTGAGCTAAAAGGACCCAATCGCTCTTGGTTGTGCTGCCAAAGATTCTGTGCTTGACCAAAGTTTAGTAAGATTCCTGAATTCTCTTCTAGGCTCCCTTGTGTACTTTCTTGTAAAACTCAGTTTTAGCAAGAACACTGCTGAATCTACTTAGCAAGAACCTCGACCCTTGATGCCACCTTCCATGTTTCATTGGTCTCCTTATCCTCTACCACCCCCCAGGTGATATTTGATCACTTTGTCTTCTGCAAGAGTTCTGTAGTCAGTTTAGCCAGAATTCCCCTCACTACTAAAGTTTCCTCTTAGTAATTTTCCACCTGCTGACCCCATCTGTCTTTTACTATAACCCCTACTTGCCCAACTATCTCGCTGCTGCAAGCCCTATTTCAGTGTCTCTATGCTTACTGCCATTGTCCCGTGAATAAAGGCTGCCTTACATCTTCAACAAGTGTCACTGATTTCTTTTTCCTTAAAAGTCTCAGCGGTTGTGTTAAGCAGAAGTATGCCCTAAAGGAACTCTGCAGAGTTTTGTGGACTCCACCCCCTACTCCAGCTTTCTGGACTCTACCCCCTACTCCAGTGATTGGAAACTACAGCTCCCAGCAGTACCAGGAAGAGAACTGTGAGGACCCAAAGGTGGAGCTAAGCAGGCATTCTGGGACTTCGGGGTATAAATAGGGTGCCATTTGCTATGGTGCTCTCTTGCTCGGGAAATGGCTCTCAGGACCTTGTGACTTGGGGCTTTCAGTTAGTTTGTTACCAGAGCTCCAAGTCAGCCAGGCAGGTAAGATATTCCAGTTACTCTCTCTTTCCCTGGGTTGTTTCCTTTTCTTTTCCTCTTTTGTAAATAAACCCATCATTGACCCTTTTGTGTGTGTCTGCAGTACAACTGAATTTTAAGCACACTGGTGAGGCCCCACAGACAGGAGGCCCAGTTCACACTGGGGTGCCCTGTAACAGTTGAACTATGGAAAACTGGAGGCTCCTCAAACTGCTAAAAATGAAGCTTCCATATGACCCAGCAATCCCACGCCTAGGTATCTACCCAAAAGACACAAAAACACTGATTCAAAAAGATGTCTGTACCCCATGTTTATTGCTGCTTTATTTACAATTGGAAAGACATGGAAACAACCCAAATGCCCAAAAGTGGATGACTGGATTAAAAAGGTGTGGTACATATACACAATGGAATATTACTCAGCAATCAAAAAACCACATGCCTTTTGCAGTAACATGGATGGAGCTGGAAAAGATCGTGCTCAGTGAAATAAGCCAGAAAGAAAAGGAAAAATACCGGATGGTTTCACTCATAGCAGGAGTATAACGGAAAGGCAAAAAAATAATGATAATGATGAACAACTATATACCAGAGACATTTTGTGGGGCAGAGAATGGGATCAAAAACAGGGGGGCAAGGGAAATGCACTGGACTATGGTGATGGCACACGGGTGATTTGGTGATGGGAAGCTCATGGGAATTACAACTGAGATGGAAAAATGCACAAAATGATGAAAAAATAAGCCATTATAAAAAAGAAAAGAAACCTTCATTTCTCTGTTCAGAAGGTTTCCTTTCCTCCAATATCATCTTTACTAACTACACTTATTTGATATCTGCCCTTACTTCCTTCTGCTATAGGCAAAGCTCAACCTTGCAGTAAGCACAGAGAAACCCAGCTTTTTAAAAGTGTTCTCAGGCCGGCCCTCCCTGGTGGCGCAGCGGGTTAAAGCACTGCACAAAGAAGCTTAAGCCACTTCCGCATGAAGTCGATTCCCGCCTGCCCCAGGAGGAGACCACATGATGTGGCAGACCTCTCCTGACCCGCCCGCTGCTCCCCTCAGCAGTGTACTTCATCGATCTGCCTGTTCTGTACCCCACTCTGTCTCTGGTGAAGCCTCTCACCCTCCGCATCTCTGGCCTGTACCCAAGTTCTGTATGAATAAATAAATAAATCTTAAAAAAAAAAAAGTGTTCTCAGGCCTTTCTGGTGGCACAGGGTTTAAAGACACAGCACTATCAATCTATTACCAGGCACTGAAAAATGATTTCAATCCCCAGCCAGGTAGCTGACCCACATGGCACAGCAGACCTTTCCTGTCAGCTCCCTGCTCCCCTTAGCAGTGTTTTTCAGTAGATCTGCCTGTTCTGACCCCAGCTCTTGTCTCTGGTGAATTCTCTCTCCCTGCACCTCCTGCCTACACCCCAGTTCTTGTATGTATAAAAATAAATCTTAAAAAAATAAAAGTGTTCTCATGACCCTCCCTGGTGGCTCAGTGGGTTGGGATGCAGCACTGCAAGCTGGCTGCAGCTGCCTTAGTGTGAGTTTGATCTCCTGCCACAGAGGTGACCCATATGGGGCTGTGGACCTCTCCTGGCCGGCCCACTGCTCCCCTCAGCAGTGTACTTGGTTGATCTTCCTATTCTGCTCCCCACTGTCTCTGCTGAAGCCTCTCACTGTGCCTGCACCTCTGGCCTGTACCCCAGTTCTGTATGTATAAATAAATAAATCTTTTTAAAAAATAAAAATAAAAGTGTTCTCTATACCAGTGTTGATTCTCAATTATGCAAGCTGAAACACAATGTTATATTGCAATAAAAATAAATAATAAAAGTGTTCATTAACGCTTTAAGCGCACACTGCCGTGTGTACAAGTATGCAGGTGTGTGTAGGACACAAGTGTAGGAAACGGACAGGTTATGTGTCTACCTCAGCATCTAAGGCTTTAGCTGATAGGGCTCCTCGCTCCTACCAGCCAATGGGACATTCTGTGCCGCAAATTTAACTAGTCTTTTTCGGCATTTTGGAGGGGAGCCCCGCCCCCTGTTCCACCTCCTCCACCCCGCCGGGGGGCGCTACTTCTCAGTGCCTTTGCCGCCCTCTACGGACGCCGACACCTGAGCTGAGAAGAGCGCAGGCGCAAAAACAAGCCGGGTTTCACCTCTCTGCTCCCACCCGCTTCCCATTCGGCGCGTGCGCATTAAGTGTGCAGCTCGGAGGACAGAGGCAGGTAAACCCCGACGCGAGTAGGTGGGGGAGGCGCGAGGCCCGGAGAGAAGCTGGCGGAAGTTCTCGCCCCGCTGGTCCGGGACGCTCGCGTTGGTTCCTGCGGGGTGGGTTTGAGAGCGTCGCTTTTAGCCACGGCACACCAACTTAAGCGCCCCTCTCCTCTCTGGGCTGAGGGGAGGGAGGGAAGAGTGGGATCTTTCAGGCCTGTTATTGATTTGGTGCCTGTTGTTTATCCAGGAAGGTTTTCTCGAGAGTAAAAGTTTGCAAATAGTAAACGGGAAGGGGAGAAGCTAGAACAGGTGGGGATTGGGGTGCCCCTAGCCCCAGGCTGGGCAGGCGGGGACGGGCAGCCCTCTGCTTCCAGCTGACTGCGGAGGCTGAGGAGCTGCGACCAGGTGAGCTCCTGGCAGAAGTTGCGCAAGAATTTGGGATCCATCTAAGGGAGCAATTTTGTCTTTTTTTGTCTATTTTCACCTCTCCTGGTGCAGTATCACCAACATGCTCACACTTGCCTCTGCATTTAGGACATGACACAAGGGGCACGTCCCGGCCATGGGGTCTCATCACTCTGCCTCTGCTCATCCCCCTTTCTGCATTCGAAAGAAAGAAGATAACAGGGAGGATTTGCTGGCTGAGCGAGAGCAGGAAGAAGCCATTGCCCAGTTCCCATATGTGGAGTTTACCGGTCGAGATAGCATCACCTGTCTCACATGCCAAGGGACCGGCTACATTCCGACAGGTGAGGATTTAGAGTCATTAGGGGAGGGCTCACTGCCCCATAGAGAATCCCAAGGCATTCACAGGCGTGTCTCTCAGACAGAGCTTTTCTTCTAGGCACTGAAACCATAGTCATAGTGTCCTGAACAGGAGCCAGCTCAGTTGACTTGATAAACTTGGGCAGGTTCCACAACATCTCTTGGTCTCCCGATGTTTAAAAACTTTCCTTTTCTTCACTTCTACACTTCTGCTCTTTGTTTTCCTTGCTTTGGGACATTGGATTTGCTCTGACTTGTGGGATTTGTTGACAGGCCACTCATAGACCTGGCATGATTTGTGGTGAGACTACCTTGGAAGTGAATTATTAACATCCTAAGGTCTGAAAAATATATCAAGAGGGAAGAGGGAAAAAATGCTTGGTTAGATGTAGGGTCATGTTTTACTAAGTTAACACTTAAAGCCTTAACATTTAGATTGAAAAGCACAGAGATTTACAGCTGGTAAGAAGTTTAGAAACCATCTACTCCAAAGTTTTCGAAATATAGAGGAGAAAGTAGCCTAGAGAGATAATGATTCCCCAAGGCCGTGCAATAAAGCCAGGATTTCTCAACTTCCCCGTCATTGCCCTGGCAGCACTAATAAATGCTTCAAGATTTGTGACACACTTTGTAGATTCATTTTGTTTCTTGTTATTACACTCAAAATGTGAAACTACTGTCTTTAAAATGTCTAATAACAGACAAATGCCTGCTGTTGTGGGGTGTAAAGGAAATTGTTCCCAACACATGAGATTCAGCTTACTACAGTAATTGTTTGGTTCTTTTCTAGAGCAAGTAAACGAGTTGGTGGCTTTGATCCCACACAGTGATCAGAGATTGCGGCCTCAGAGAACGTGAGTTACTTGCTTCTCTCTTGTTAATACCTGCTTCTGTTTCTCATCCCTTTTTATACGAGAGTGCCACTTAGTTTTTGAAAACTATCAGTTCTTGCAAATGCCTATTTCCTTTAATACTGTTTGCTCAAGCAAGAGATCTCTGCCTCGTAGGAGATCTGAGGAAGGAAACTTGGAACTAAAGACAATATGAGGTCCAAGTGAAGGAATTAAATCGGAAGGAATGGAGAAGAGAGGTATTCTGGAAGGCAAGAAAGTTATTTCTCTCCACACAGCTCATCTCGTCAGCTTCTTCCCAGATTTTTAATTGGATTCAAATGGATCTAAAAAGGCTTCTCACACTGCACTCATTCTCGCCTCGCTTGTGGCTCCTGGCTCTATTTCTGCTTTCCTTTTCCTCGGCTGTATGCCCAGTTTTGCATTTAATTTTGGCTTTTGGACCTTGCCATCTGACTGCATGGTCTTGATTGGTTTTGTGCTGTGTCATTTGCAGCAAACAGTATGTCCTCCTCTCCATCCTGCTCTGTCTCCTGGCTTCTGGTTTGGTGGTTTTCTTCCTGTTTCCACACTCGGTACTTGTGGATAACGGTGGCATCAAAGTGGAAAAAGTTACGTTTAACACACAGGACTCCCTTGTCATCCTGGCCATCACGGTAAGACTGGGGCTTCAAGTCCTAGGGTGTGCATCTGCAGCCCAGGACTCTTACGCTTGTCTCCTCACTTGCCCTGATGCAGGCCACACTGAAAATCAGCAACTCCAACTTCTACTCTGTGGCAGTGACCAGCCTGTCCAGCCAGGTTCAGTACATGAAGACAGTGGTTGGCACGTATGTGTCAACGAACGTCTCCCTCATTCCACCTCGGAGTGAGCAACTGGTATGCCTTTATTTTTAGGGTACTTGTCCTACAGACCTAAAAGAAGAGTTAGAAGCTGTGCAAATGCTGCAGCCTCATTGCTTTCTTCACTTGCACTTATAAGAAGCATATGATAAGGAACACCTGACAGCCTTTGTAATTTTAAAAAACTGAGGAGGAAGTCAGCTAACATTTTAAGTATTAGGGCAACAGAAAGACTTGTAAGAGAAAGATTTATTGCAGGTCAAGAAGAGGCGGTATGACAGTCTAAGGCCTTTGGCTTTCCAAATGGAAGAGGTTGGAAGCATGTTAGACGTCTAGAGTGTTATCAGGGACCGGCTGGGGGAAATCTGTGGGATGGCAGAGGACTTCCTGGTCTTTGGGTTGCTAATAAAGTACTGCCCTGTACAGTGGTCAAGCCTGCTTGGCCACAGACTGATACTGGTGTCTTATTTTCAGCTGAATTTTACCACCAAGGCTGAGATGGGAGGACTGTATTCCTATGTGTAGTAAGTACAGTGTTCTCTGTGTGTGCTCTCTGTTGGGTGAAAGGGATTCCAAGTTGTACTCACCCTTTGGGGGATTGTCTTGCTTTACATCCCGCCTTTGGCCTGTGGGCCTCCTGGCTTTGCTTGTTTGGACATTTGTTGGTAGAACATGCCACTTGCTGCTCCGAGACTGACTGCTGGGGTGTCAGATGCTCAGCTGCTAGGAACATTACGAGACTTCAGCGTTTGTATGATGGCTTGAAAAGATGACCAGTACGATGTCAGAGGATGGAAGGATGCTTGTCAGGGAGAAGAACTTGTGAAACTACATGGCGTTTGGGTCACAAGGGTGGTTGTGGGGGTCAGAGGTTGCCCCAGTAGGACTTTATAGTTTGATGCTGCGCTCTGCTGCTGACTGTCCTTTTTTTCAAATCTAACTGACGGTCTCTATATTTGCTATTTGGTAGCTTCTTCTGCACGTTACCTGACATCCTGGTGCACAACATAGTGATCTTCATGCGGTATGTCACTCCTCCCTGCTCCCGCGGGCTGTCAGTGTGGGGACCCGCTGCCTTTGCTAGGGCATCCTTTGGCAGGGACCCTTAGCCAAAGAGGGGGGATCTGCGTGCTTCCAGTCTCAGATGTGGTAGATGTTTGCTGTCCTTTACGTGTGTTTCCACTATTTACAAGCACCAGATTCACAGTCTTTTCCATGAAATGAAGTCTGATTTATATGCTGTAGAGTTCCTTTAGGGTCCTAATAAGAGCAGTAGAGACCAGAAGAAACTTATTGATTGTAAATGCTGCACATTTGGCCAGAATTACTCTTTAGCCATGCAAATCACCACATGCTGTGGGTCTTCAGGGCACCTCCTGGCACCGGAGCTGTTACAGTTGCAGGTGAGGAGGACCTACTGCAGCTGTTTGAACTCTTGACAGTTTAGAGACTTCTGAGCCTTGGCACTGTTGACTCTGTTGTGCCGTGTGCACTGGCTGTCTCCCAGCACCTTACCCCTCATTGGAACAATGTAAAGTGTCTCCAGAGGAGTAAGGCTATCCTCAGTTGAGAACCACTGACTTACAAGGTCATCTCACATCCCTGTATCTCTGTGGACATGGGAACCTCTGGGCTCCTGGTTATGTAAACATGAAGGTATCATCTGAGATGTGTGGATGTTGTTGCCTGAGCAAGACATCACTTGGGTATTGTTCTTGCTTATTTCATCAAATTAGAGTTAATTCTTCTTGGTTTCTTTTCCCTAGGACTTCAGTGAAGATTTCATACATTGGCCGTGTGACCCAGAGCTCCTTGGAAACACATCAATATGTGGATTGTGGTGCAAATTCCACAGCTATTTAGAAACTGCTCTTGATTCTCGTGCAGCATCATCAATCAGGAGAGACCCAGCACCTATGCCTGAATTTCCTACCTGCCACAGGTGGTACAAACAGAGGAGAAATTGGGTCTCTTGTTCCCCAGCGGACATCTTCCTATCATTTGGGAGGAAAGTCCATCTCTACTTCACCTTTTGTTTCTCAGAACCAGCGGAATCACTGCCCTGTGCCTGGTGTATTTTCAGCAAACAGGCATCCAGAGAAGATTTGAAGAATTCCATTCAGCTGTTTTCAGTGTTCTTGGGGCATTCAAAATGAAAACCATTCCATGGTTCAGGTTGTCTACTGTAGAGCAACCTGGAGCTAAGACTGTTAGTGTGGTAATAGAACTTATTGGGGCCTCATCTCCACAGAAACAGCAGAAGGCAGGAACGTTTGGATAGGCAAGAAGGAAAGCACAAATATATGTATTTTTTAACTTGTTTCCATACCCAAACACCTTGGAATTTAAAAACAACAACACTTTTTTTCTCCTGCAGAAAATTAACTGCTTTTACCAATAGGAGTCTCTGTGGGACTTGATTAACCCTTTATCCTTTGGCTGAAACATGGATTGGGGATTTGGTAGAAAAATAAACCCTGCTTTTGATTTATCTCTGTCTCCACTGACAGCTGGATGTCTTTGGCTCCTCTGGGGGGTTAGTCACGTGCTGCAGGTCGGCACAGGCTGGGACAGGATGGAAAGGAGCCCTGGTGTGCCGCCCAGTGAGCTTCTGTCCTAGAAAACAGCCTCCTGCCAGGGAGCCTCATGGTTACCATCTGCCTCTCCCAGCAGATGGCTGCCTTCTTGCTCTTCCAGAACAGAGTACTAACGCCCCCTGGAGGTTGGGAGAGGAGGGGCCGAGACTCCTGCCAGATGAGTCAGTGCTTCTCTGAGAGGAACTGCCCCCTCCAACTGGCTGTAGTCCTGGTTAAGAGGACTTAGTTTGAGTTTGAAAGTTCTTGAACTCTCTTCACCCTCTCCTCCACCAATGAAGACTCCAGCTATAGACTCCAGGATCTAGTTGGGAAACTTGAGGCTGAGATGCCTCTAGCTTCTTCCCCAGCACTGGGTCCTCAGAAAGCTACTAGAGTGACAGGTGGTGGCAGGAGGTGTGCATTAGTTTTGTTCTCCATTCTGATAGCTTTATTTTTAATATATGCTTAATTTTTGTGCTCTAAATCTGCAAAGGTTAAATTTCATAACTGACAGACATTGCTGTGATTGAGTAACCCAAAAGCTGAAGATTAAAAACAGGTTCCGTGTGACACGGTTCCATATCTGCGTGTTTGCGACAGTGGTGGCTGCTGTGTGTGTGAAGGGCAGGGCAGTGGCCCTGTACTAAGGCAAAGGGGGACCATTTCTGAGGACACTGCCCTAAACAAGACCCCCTAAATTCATGTCACATTGCATATTGTTCTCTTTAGTTTCCCCACTCTCCAAATAATTTCTGGCATATTTTCTATGAATTTTGGAAAAGTTACTCATATTCTTCATTTTTCAATCATTTTTGTGACATGCCTCAGTGGCATTTCTTCTCAGGATGCTCTTAAAATCCACCTATGATAGTCAGAGGAGGAACATTCAATTTATTAAACATACAGTAAGCTTGATCTTATAACACAATGAATTGTCATGGCTGTTTATATTCTTACATCCCAAACTGCACTTTGGCCTGTTCTGCACAGTTTTATCACATGATCTGTCAATTCTTGAACAACTCCCTAGTACTTGCTTTTAGCAACACCAAAGCTGAAAGAGGGGAGGGGTCAGCTCAGAGGTCATTGCCATCACTGTAGTATTTCTAGTGAATTAAGATAGGGAATGCATGTGTTTAAGATGGACCCTTGCGAGAAGTCTCTCACTGGCTTCTGGCTTGGCCTATACTCTGGTCTCAAGGCACTTAGACTACTTGAAGAGACCATACTACAGAAATCATATGATAGCTACAGAAATCTTCGATTTGTTCATTTACTCATTCTAAAAAAGATTTATTGAGTGCCCACTGTATGCCAAAGATTGCATCTTCTGATGTGTTTTTGTCCCGTGTCAAGTTTCAAACACCATCAACAGCCCGTCGGATCTTATGTAGGCCACAAGTTAGTTCTACCATACATTCTACAGTGCGATAGGGAGGAGAGAGAATTGCCTTTTATCCCTCTGCTGACCTCGGCTCAAAATAATCCACTTGCCAAGGTTACGTGTCTAGAGAAGTCCTGTTGGCAACCTCCCGGGAAACCTGTCCTTCCCCAGTTGCTTCAAAGCAGGATTCCTGGGATCCTGGGTCAGCTATCCTGGGGATTCTAGCCTCGGATGTAAAACCATCAGGGGAATCTGCCTATTTGTAAACTCTGACTTTAAGGGTCCTGGGTATTTTGTTGGGTAAAACAATATTTATTATTTGCCTTTATAAGTAAAGTATATTCAGTGTCTCTTCAGCTCTCTCTTCCTTTGCTTGTTCAGAAAGGGAAACTGTAAGGAGTTGGTCTGTGATTTCCCAGGGTCCAAGGTGCTTGAACAAGTCTTAGCAGATGTTTGGACTCCTAATCATGGGTGCTGGTCACTTCCATCAAGATAAAGCTACAGAGAGGAAAAGTGCCCCGAAAAAGACCTCAGAACCTGCGGGCTCAGGATTTTATCTGAGAATATTCTGATGGGGGGACCTTCTGCCTTTCCTGGGGGCACTGGTGATCCCCGAGATTAGTAATGAACCTCTTATTCCCAGGGTCCCCTCTGGGCCAGGGAGATCCAGGGAGTTCTAAGTACAAGGCTGCAGCCAGGTTCCCCAGAGGCAGGGCTTCTTGTTCCATTCCTTCTCTTCCCTTGAGCCCTTTTTTTCTAACAGAAAAGTCTATCACCTAAGGCTCAGCTGCTGTTAACTTCTGGGTTTTACCAGGTACCCGCAAGTAGGTGGACTTTGAGAGGTCACCTTAATATTCTGGTACAGACAGAAATTCCCTGACAAAACCCCAGCTGATGATCATCATGTGCTCGCTACCGGGGCCACCGGGGCCAGAGCTGTTGTTCTGTTTACTCGGGGAACAGCCACCTCTCTTTTGTGACTTCATTCCAGATCTTAATCTCTGGACCCAGATGATCCCTCATTTTCACACAAAGCCAAGGTTGACCAAAAGAGGCAGGTGTGTGTGTGTGAGTGGGAGGCTTCAGTGCCCCCAAGCTTGGCTGGAAAGTTAGCAAGCCTTTAGGATGGCCGTGTGGTCATGTCTGCGGAATCAAGGACTCGCGGAGAAGAAAAAACAAAGCACAAGTCAGTGTGTACTTTCCAAGAATTTTTTTGTTTTTAATATCAATTGATGTTTTAAAAAATACAGAGGTGTTTGACACAGAATAGCACCATTGTGTAGGACACACAGTTCCTACGCCCAGCACCTGACAGGGGTTTTCTTGCCTGGGCTGGAGGGCAGTCACTCCGAGGGCGTTTGACTTGTACCAGTTAGTTTCCTGCCTCTGCCTTGACCCAAAGGTCTTACAGGAAGACAATAAATAAATAGAACACCGAGATTTTATTTTGCAGTCTGCCCAGTTCAGGTCTCTTAGAGAGATGGGGGAGAAAAGTCCAAACTGAGAGGGGGGTGAATGGGCATCAGGTCAGGTCAGCCATTCAGTGCAGAGTCCTAGAGTGACTGGGATCGGAAAGTACTTGGGTCCTTTGGGTTTGCCATGGTTTGTGATGTTTCTGGGTTCAGGTTTTTACAAGAAGCAGACAGGCCCTATGTCCACACCAAATTCCTGCTCAGGCCCTCCGATGTCCATGGGTGCAATGTCAATGATGGGGAGGCGAGAGGTCTTCTGTGACCGGTACTCGATGATAGTTTTGCCCCACTTACCGGTGTGTTTCTGGAGGAAAAACAAAGGGGTCACCATTCAGTGGTTTTTTGGCCACCCAGGGCTAGCTGCCCAGGACCCCAAACAACTTAACCTTGTCATAGAGCAAAGTGCCAAACATACCTGGAGATTCCTGACCCCCTCTGGGCTTGCCAGAGCCATGCTTCTGTCCTCCTCCACCCTCCCTTCTCCTTCTCCCCACCCCCACAGTGAGCCCCCACCCATGACTGCCTCATTGCTCCAGCCTGTAAGCCATATGCATTGTGTGAACGCACCCACAAGAATCAGTAAACAGACTGGGGATGATCTTACTACCCTCAGTCAGGGAGTGGAGAACAGCAAGCTCCTGTGTATCACTGTCACTCATCACTCTGCATGTCTTATCGCTCCTAAAGCCCCTCTGATGACACTAAGATGCCTGCTTCAGCAGCTCCAGTCAACCCAACTCACCGTGCAGCCATCCCTCAGGACAGTGTATGTGAACCTGCTGTTGCCCTCGGCCCGGATCTCCACGTCATTGGAGCCCTGGATGAGCAGGGCCTTCTTGAGGTTGCCAGCTGCTTCGTCCATGTAGGCAATGCTGTTCTTGCAGTGGTAGGTGATGTTCTGGGAGCCCTCCGTGGACAGAAGTCGCAGGAAGGTCATCTGGACGTTGGCAGTGTTGGGAGCCAGGTTGTCATCCCCATAGCTAAACTGTCAGGGCAGAGAGCGGAGGTATGAGGCCTAGAGGGCCCTCAGTGGGAGGCGGGGCTGTACTGTCCAGGGTGCAGAAGGGAGCAGTGAGCTGGGGGACACTTGCCCTCCTAGGGGAGGATTCCTACATCTCTAAATGGGGATGAAACCCCACTATTCTGCCTCTTGATATTCTCTCAAGCCCTAGAGAAAACTGGTGAGAATGTGGGCATAATACTAAAAATTTTCAGAGAGAAAGAAGGGGAAGATTTCGGGAGCTAGCCCTGGCTTAGCACGACCAGTACTCACGTGAAAGCCACCATTGATGGTTTCTCCAAACCAGATATGTTTCCTGTCCTTGCTCTTGCTGTTCCACCAGTTCTTCTTGGGCACACTAGCTGGGCTGGGATAGACGCAGGTCTCACCAGTCTCCATGTTGCAGAAAACCTTCATGGCATCCAAGGTGCAGCCCTGGTTGGGGTCAATCCAGTAGTCTCCTGTAGGGGGAAAGGCCATGCCCCACAGAGTCAGCAGGGCAGACTCCCTAGAGGCCAGGACTGCCTGGGAGAGGCAGGTGCCAGGAGGTGAGGGGCAGGCGAGATGGCCAGAGTGGCCCCAGGATGGGAGGGCCTGGGTCAAGGAGGAGACCTGGATGGGCAAAACCTCGAGCTGGCAGGGGCACGAGGGACAAGGGCAGGAGCAGTGCACGCCACCCTGAAGTTGGCTCTTCCCCGTAGCCTCAGAAGGAAGGGAGCTGGGTGGCATGTCTGTTGTGACATGGAGGTGCTACTAGAAGTTTCCAGGACTGGCTCTGCCCTGTCTGCTACTGAGGTCTGCAAGGCTGCTTGCTCAGTGGGCTGACTGCCTACTATCTGGGGTGGGGTTGGGAAATCCTGCCCCCCAAGCTCACCGCTCTTCCACTCAGGGTGACAGAGCTGCAGGTCCCGGCAGGTGCGAGCAGGGTTCTTGCGGGAGCCCTCAGGGCTGCGGATGCTCTCAATTTGGTTATTGAGTGACTTGAGCGTGGCATCCACCTCGACATCATGCTGCCTCAGGTTACCAGCTGCCTGGTCAGCCCGCATGTACTGCAGCGGGT